AGCTGAAAGTAGCTCAATAACATCCCTGAACATTGTGAACACACAAAAGCCTTGTTATGAAATAGCTGATCTTGGCATACTTTGTTAAGCCCTTGGATTACAGTGTGGTTGCATGTGACAGAGCCGATTTTCGAGAGCAATCCTGGCTCTCGAGTTTAAAAATGTAACCCCCAGCTTCTTGTGAAAACTGGCTGACCAACTAATCAGCTGTATGGACATTGCACAAGCCATGTTGCCCCATATTGTTTCCCACAGAAAGTTTCCACAACTGGTTAGGCAGAAAAAACCCTGTCTTCAAATTCTAAAATGTGCTAGGATAGAGTCAACACTTTATTATACCAGCATTTTGGGAACTTGGGGGAAAATATTGTAAAGAAATTATGCAGAGGCTGAGATATCATGGTTTTTAGCACTTTATATGAGCCAACCTCCACTGGATCCTACTCTTCCCAAAATGCAACTTGATAGCCTCTATATTAGTTTTTAGTAAATGTCAATTTCTTTCAAACTCAAGACCCCCGTTTTTAAAGCCGGCTTTCTAATATGTGTCCATACAGAGAACACATTTCAACTAAATTGATCTTGATGTATATACAACCAATGGGAGTCTTGCCTGAAAGGTTAGCTTCTGTTTCCGGCTGTGTGTGCCCGGGGCAATGTAGTGGTCTACTCTCCAATCATCATGGCTATAACTGTAACTGTACCACAGGGTTGTTCCTGAAACCACAAGGCTCTATTATTAGCCATATCACCATAACAACACAACTTAAGCTACAATAGCAAATATTGGTGTTTAAATAACCTGAATTAGGTTGGAAAAGTGAGAAAATTATTTTTTACAATCAGAAGAGATGCCAAGAATGACCCCTGCTGATCATCTGAAGTAATTACAGCTCACACTGGACACATATCACTAAAACTATACCTACATTGTGAAATATAAGGGCAATTATTTGGGAAGGCCTACACACATGCAAAATGTATTAATATATAGTGTACTTATGTATTATACTTACAAACAAAATTAGTTTCCAGAGTGTAGTTTGTGTAACCTTGAAAGAAGAAAACACCAGACATGAAAAGTTCCTCTGTTACTACGATTTCTACGTGCATGGCAGGCATTCTTTGGCATTAGCTGCATCTGGAGTTTTGATGCGCCATGCAACATGACTCATTGCACAAGCTGATCCTGAAACCACTTTCATTTTACAGGTGCAGTCAGAGGTAAATCCATCCTGTAATTTTCCGAGGGAGGGAGTGGGCAGACCTGAACCATTAATTACTGACTTGAGTCATAATAAGGAAATAGCTCACTTTTCTGATGTGGTACTGAGAGAAAGATACATCTGTGGGCAGCCATCACTTTGTATTACATGCATAAAGCTCTATTATAACATGATCTTAACGTTTCCTTAACAGCAAGATTGTATACTTTCTAAGGTGTTTCCTTTGAAGCAGCCTACAGTATAACTCACATACTCTTACATTAGATATATATACAGAAATACTGCTGTCGGAAGATGGGACTTTGCAAATCATTTTAGAAAGATAGTGTGAAATTCAGAGAGCTCTTGCTGAAGTTGGACAGCCTGTCTAGAAGTCACTCTTCCTCGGGCTAGACACAAAGCATTCTGCACTGCATACATTTCTGCAGTTGACATCACCCCAACAAGCCTTGGTAGACTGCAGGCTGACAAAGCATTTGTTCATCTGTGATACATTATACATACATGTCAGGGAATGACACAATAAAACCCCTTCTGTTCGTAGATGGATTGTGTCCACAGGCGTGAAAGCTTGATGAGTTAGAGCAGTGTTTTTCAAAGTGGGGGCCCCGACCCCCCGGGGGGCCGCCAAGGGGCGCCAGGGGGGTCACTCAAAGTTTGAGGGAAAAGGGATTTTTTATTTTTTTTTAAGTTTTATTTTTTTAATTTTTTTTTAGATGTTATTAATAACTGCATATCTATCAATCTATGTGTCCTTTGATGCCAATCTTTTCATATTTTTTGTTTTTGAATCACAGGACCGCCCTTCAAGCCAATCAGAATCGAGCTGTTGGAGCAAGTGAGAGCTATGTTTCGCTCTGCAGCTGGATGAGAGCACGGATGTAGCAAATGTCGCAGAATTGCTTGCATACATCAGATTTATTTCAGAAGACAACCTTGTTGAGGAAATATTATTTTGCAAAGCACTGGAAGGTAAAGAAAGCGGAGTGACAGCTTCGATCAGGCAGAAGGCCCCAAATGTAGATGCATGTTGCATCGGGAGGCACTTGTACACATCATTTAAAAGAACAATTGCCACAAGGGGGTCCTCGCCAAAGGATAATGCTATATGGGGGTCCTTGGCATGGCAAAGTTTGGGAACCCCTGAGTTAGAGGACAGCGTCGATATACGTACATCAGCAGTGCAACAATAAATCAAATCAAATCAAGTTTTATTTATAAACACATTTATAAACGATTTTTGGTCGAGCCAAAGTGCTGTACATAAAATAAAAATAGCCTACAGTAGAGACACTTTACAGCAAATACAACAGCACAGATTGTTCAGAATATCAGTATGAGAAAAACGACACCCTCTATCCTTAGACCCTACTGATACAGTATGCCATACATGTCAGAGAAAAAGTATAAAACACAATAAAAACATTATTTTCTATCACAAACGCCTCTTAATTTCACTGCGTTTCCTCAAGATAAAAACCAAGAACTCAGAGAAAACAATTCCTCCCAAGCAATCAGAGGGACTTTAGTTGGCTTACTGAGCTGTATGGATTTCATTCGCCTTTGTTTTGATTCCCACACACGCCTCTCTGAAGCTCTGGCAGGGACTGTTCTGTTCACAATCCAAAACATATCAAACTGTGTGTTACCAGTAGAAAAATGTATCTTTTAAGACATCATTATAATCGTCTTTCATGTAAATATTCATTCATTCAGACTATCACCCAATAACCAAAACAAATGTTTCAAGCTTAAAAAAGGAGGCCCACGATCCCACAGAGGTCGTTTGCTATCATAGCATCACCCTCCTCCTTAACAACAAGCTGATTTGGCAAATATTCTGAACACTCTTTCATTGACGGGCTTGTTGGTGCTCCCAAATAAATCACTTTTTCCTGAACTGCCGCTGGAGCCCACATGGACTAATTTCCATAAATGAAAATCATGGCAAACCCCAGGCCTAAGAGAGCAAATAGCGCTGATATTAAGCATCTAAATTACTATCACGTTTTCTTTGGGCGATGCTCTGTCTGCTATCAGTCCCAGTCTGTGCCCTGGCAAGATTCATTGGGCATGTTGAGTCACACTCAGAGACTGTGAAAGTTAGACTCACAGTAACATTTACAGTCTGAAAGGGCAGTGACATAACACTGTAGGCCTAATTAGTTAAGAGGCAAAGGGAGAGTGACTAAGAAAACTGAAATAATCAATGTAAATTACCCTGGGAAACATAAAGACGTTGCGAAATAACCCGTCACGTCACCTAGTGAAACAGCCAGGTGACTTTTATTAACCTATCACACATATACATAACTTTTTTCATGTCAAACAGTATTTGGCTCAATTTCAGGAGTGATTTAGTAGTGATGCTGATACATGATACAATGAGAACTCACGACCATTTGATGAGTCACAAATGAATCACTAGCATGATTAAAAACAGAAACACCAACCCATACAGAATACTGCGTAAACCCTTCCCACCACAAGGAGTCCAAAATGCAACGGCTGCCATTTCAACGTTTAGGTTTTCATAACGGTTTATGCAAAAAAATGACACTTGCAGATGGTGACAGCTGGGAAAAAGCCTTTGGGAATATATTAAGTTTAGACTGGAGGCTAAATATTCAAATGACAACCCGTTGACATATCAAACCAGATATTTTCTTCCATTCTACCCAATGTGTCAAGTAATTATTCTTAGCGAGACAACAATCGGATAATCTCTGTTGTCACCATGTTCTTGATACCAGAACATTCTAGATTACGTAGCGTTTGAAATACCAAATCGGAAAAAGAAGTCCCCTCTAATGTTTGACCATGGTGCTGATTCAGGTGTTTTTAAAATCACTGAGACAGCACTCTTTCCCCTTTGCTACGCATTCAGTCAGCTGATTCACCACAACCCAGCGAAGCCGCTTTAGTCATGTCAACACTCTCTGCCAACATAGTTTTAAGCACTCCCAATAGAAACCTGTACACAACCCTGCAGTGAAGGGTAATGCAGTTGCATCACCTAACAACCAACAATCCTAAACAAACAGTAACACAAACTAGCTCCATTACAGTTCAGATTCTGGTATGACTACAGTGAAGTGAAGGGATACGTCTTAGAAACAGATGGGGAGTATGAAAAAGCTCCTAAAGAGGTCAACGTCTTAGCCAGCTCTACTTCTCCTCCATCTGTTATTATGAGAGTTGTTTATGCAGGTTAGGAGGCGATCTCTGTAGACACAACAACATGCCATCCCTGTTATCGAAGAAGACAGCAACAGGGAGACCTTTTTTAATGCTCGGGAAAAAGCAGAAATATGTGGCTGTTTTTACCTGAGGTTATAGTGTTGCCATACGATGTGTGAAAGAGGTTGTGAGAAGTCATCTTGAGCAGTTCAATGGGTTTTGGCTGGGGATAGTGTGTGAGACCTGCTGGAGATTAGATCTACTCAGTAAGTAATAACATTAGCCCGCTCCCTCTCAGCACGTGTGTGTGCACAGAGCTTTAAGTTAATGAGAGAACCTCCTTAGCCACGGGAAGCTACCTCTATTTATGTCCCGCTGTTATCATCCTGTGTGTTTGTGAATGTGGTCAAACAAGCACGTACAAGGATACAAACACCGCCAATCAACATGTTTTTATCGCCAGTATGAGACGTATTTTAATTGATGTTGATTTATCTATTTTAAGCCATGTTACAGGAAAAAATTCAACAACAAGCGACCTACAAACAATCGTACAACAACAACAACATAAGGCCCACAGTTATGTGAGTTTACCTGGAGTTTGCTGAAGCGGCTTCACGGCTGGACACAAGAACGTCTGAAGGCTGGACACGCAGAGTTCACTCACTGACCCCATAGCTTCAGTGTGATGTGTGTGTCTGTGAGGGATCTGTTGGTGGCTGTGTGAGTGCTTCCTCCTGACGATTCAGATTGAGATGGAAAAAGGGGAAGTAGCTGAGGCCTGGAGGCTGCTGGGAGTCACTCAGTCCAAGGAGAGACTCCAACTGTTAGGAACTCCATTCGGTCACTTATTCCCCCCCCCCCAGCTGCTGGATGAATCCTGCGCTCCCCGGCCAGTCTCTCACACTCACCTACTTTCTCTTCCCTCTCGATTAGAGCGAATGTGCAACTTGCCAGGACGCTGAAATCACTTCTGCTTTCGCCCAGTTCCCCTTTTTTGCTGGTGTCTCAGCCTCTCTCTATCCTCCTCTGCTCTGTCTCTCTCTTCCTCTCTCTCTCTCTTCCTCTCTCTCTCTCTCTCTTTCTCTCCCACTTGCACTCTCTTGATACTTTCCATACTAATTCAAGCAGATATTCTTAGACATAACAGAATGCACACACAAATGGAAAAGTCAGCTTGTACTTTAAAGCGTATGTTAATGTACCTTCAGGGCAGATCTCTATTTTCTGTTACTTTGTTTTTGCTGCAAGCTAGTTTGCCTGATAAAATGTAGAAACCACGGGAGAATTCATTTAAGAAACAGTTCATTAAATTGTTTTACTGTGCATCAGGCTCATGGAGAAATATCCGCAGCACATTTATTTGTTTTGTGCACTGCAGTGTTTGAGTTCCATCTCCACTGTAGCTTTTTAGCTTCTAGTCACTCATCATTTTTTTTGGCTTCAAAAGCCTTGTATATAAATTCAAGATATCATTGTTGCTTGGCAACGGGGTGAAATAAATAATTTGTTCCTGGGCAAAACACTGGGAGCCATTTGTTTTGATCAGATAATATCTTCACAGCTATTGAGGTTATTCACCACGACACAGTCACATTTTCATGGTCTTGAAATAACATGACACACACACACACACACACACACACACACACACACACACACACACACACACACACACACACACACACACACACACACACACACACACACAATAAACCGGTCTGGTTCTGCTACAGATGTGCTCCTAATCATCGCAAATCGATTTCATTTTGGATTTCCAAAATGTTTTACCAACTCCTGAACTCCTGCCACTCTGAATTAGCCTACCTGCCAATTTAACACAGTCTCTAACTCCTTAAAGGTCCCATGTCATGGCCATTTCTACTGATCATATTTCCATTGTTGAGGTCTACTAAAATAGATTTAAATTGTGCCATTTTCCAAAATCACATTGGTTTCTCATACAGCATCTCTGTATAGTATATGTATTCACCAGGTATTCACTCTCTGTCCTAAACGGCTTGTTGGAGCTCCTTCCCCCCCTCCCAGTGTGCTCTGATTGGTCGGGACGTTGTGAGGCTCGTTGCTGTGAGCTGCTGCGAGGAGCGGACAGGTTTCCGGGTCGGCGATACAGCGAGAACAAGCTAAACTCATCCTGAGCACACACAAACACTCACAGCCGAAGTAAAAACAATAAGTGTGGCTTGATATTGAGTAAGAAAAAGGTTTATAACGCTGTGAGAATGGGTCTGCAGAGAGCATTTCTCCGCGATCCCAACTCGTCTATTACCAGCGTTCAGGGATGCAAGTCAATGGGGACTCCCTGTTAGTTAGCCAAGGGATCCTGGTGTGTGAGGTGCTCCGCGGATTGGTCCATTGGGGCCAATCCGGTCATTTGTTGTTGATTTGGGTATTCACACGTCACAGAACCCAGGAGGCAAACAATGGAAAATGAGAAATCTCCAACGAGGCGTTTTGGGGCAGCATAGACAGGTCTTTTCTGTGTTAGAGTTTTACTCGCTACAGGGTGTACTTTGAGGGTTTTTGACTCTGCAGACCGTTTACATGCATAAAAACCTTCATAACACACGAGGGGACGGGTAATAACCGGAAAAGCATGACATGGGCCCTTTAATAACAGCTCTCTCATTTAGTGTCAGTCACTATTAATGATTAATTTGGCCCTTCATCAATGGCAAGCATGTCAGCAACTCAGGCTAAGTGGCATTACAGAACCCATCTAGCTATAACTGACATATACTGCATTTCTTCACCCAGCCAGGCTCTGACATAACCTCTGATCCAACAATCATTGCTCAGTTCATTGCCAGAGGGCCGAGTGCCCTGGAGTGACCCCTGCCTGAACTGCATAGTCAGTCCTGACCATTGTTTAGTGTTACAGCTGCACATCGCCTTGTCACGGGAGGAATAGGGACACTGTACACGTTGAAGTCAGCACAAATGTCGTCTTCTCTTTTTTAATATGCATATTCCTCCCCTACCGCTTTGCTCCACATTACCTCTCTGAATAAGAGTGTGTTGTCAGCAGCAACTCAGTCAGCACCTGCCGTGAGTTTAAATAAGTAAACAGGTAGATAGATAGATAGATAGATAGATAGATAGATAGATAGATAGATAGATAGATAGATAGATAGATAGATAGATAGATAGATAGATAGATAGATAGATAGATAGATAGATAGATAGATAGATAGATAGATAGATAGATAGATAGATAGATAGATAGATAGATAGATAGATAGATAGATAGATAGATAGATAGATAGATAGATAGATAGATAGATAGATAGATAGATAGATAGATAGATAGATAGATAGATAGATAGATAGATAGATAGATAGATAGATAGATAGATAGATAGATAGATAGATAGATAGATAGATAGATAGATAGATAGATAGATAGATAGATGGATACCTTCTGGCAAGGTCAAAAAATACATCAGTTCCTTATCAGTTCATTACTGTAAATGCAATAACATCAGTGTGTTAGACTAAACTGCCAAGTGGCCAGGCCTGAGTCCCCATAGCCAACTGTAAGTACCCTAATGAAAGCCATAAACGCAAATGAGCCATAGCAATAACAGTAAACTTTGATTCAGTATGTCTATTGCCTCATATTGTCTTGCAGGTTATTATAGTGCAACACAGCGTTGGAGACTTAGAGCACCGATTGCAGTCACTACAGGCTCGACTTAAAGGTTCCCTGAAGAGTTTTTAATTAAGCCCTGTTGAACTGTTTTTCTAGGATGTTGTCCCCTTTTGGTTTATGCCATGTAACATTACAACTTAAAGGTCCCATGTCATTGCCATTTCTACTGATCATAATTCCATTGTTGAGGTCTACTAGAATAGATGTACATTGTTCAATGTTCCAAAATCAAATTGGTTTTCTCATACAGCATCTCTGTATAGTATGTGTATTCACTCTCTGTCCTAAACGCCTCGTTGGAGCTCCTGCCCCCCCCCTCCCTATGAGCCCACTGTGCTCTGATGTGTGTTTATGTGTTACAATGGCGTTTGTTAGCAGCCATAAAATGACACCAGTAATGACGGCAGATCTCCCTTGTAAAAGAGATCATGGACCTCAATGGGATTTTTTACCTGGATAAATAAAGGCTACAAACAAACATACAAACAAACAGATGAGAATGCTGCGTGGGGTCTGGGTGCCGTGTTGGCGGGACGTTGCGGGGCTCGCTGCTCCGCCCTTTGAGACTCGAGGAGCGGACAGTGTGAGCTGGATTACTGGTGTCGTTGCTGGGTTGCTGCGTGGGGTCTGCGAGACAGCGAGACACGGCGAAACTCAGCCTGAACTCAGCCTGAGCACACACACTTGAGTGTGTGGCGAACTGTGAGCCAAGGGATCCTGCACTCTAAAAACGAATTCAGGCGCCCTTTCACCTCCACTTAATGAAATGCATGGTTGCAAGATAAAAATGTGAGTTAATTGATTTAGATAAACATTTTAAGTTGCAAACATTAATTTATAAGTTGTGTTGACGTAATAATGTTGGTAATTACATCAACTTAATATTGAGTGTAATTTGAACTCTGATTTCTGCGTTAATTTACTTAAAACAAAATTCAAGTTGTAGTAAGTAATGCAATTGGCTTGATAACTTAATTGTTCTACACCTTGAGTTAAGGATTTCAAGTCCACTCCCACTTAACGTGCCTGGACAAGTTCCGACAGTTAAGACAAATAGAAATATACAAAGGACATTTTAAGGTGAGTGTCATCTTTTGTCATTCAAATACAGTAGATATCCTTGTAGTTGCACTGTATAGGCAAATTGCTGTTTGACCAAAATTAGCAGCCTTTAAACTGTGAATAGTTCTGTGAGAGGATACAAAGTAGTAGAGGCTACTGTGAGAGTAAAAATACTTTGGTTACTATTGTGATATCGCTTTTTATTAAAAATGAATCTCGGTGAAGCAGATCAAGGACATGCTTCTTGAGGTAGGATCGCTATTTAGAGTTGTCATTGAAATGCAAGTTGTTGGCAGTTCGGAATATATTCATTTAGGTCATTTCTCTTTTTTTCCTTTTTCAAAAATAGCACAATACAATTGAAGTACGCAGAGAACTATATGTCGTGTACCTTGGAGAAAAGGAAGAGGGCCTTTTCAAGGAGTTTAGCGACGTAATTTAAAATCTTGAAATAAAATAAAATCCAAGGGCACAGTGTACACAGGACAAAAGCACTGCTCTCTGTCAGTTACATTTTGAAGCATATTGCACTTTTGGCCACACTCCAATCAATAATATCTTAGCAACGTTCAGCATGGATAGGTGTTGACAGCAATGGCATGGGAAAAAGATTGTGTAACATTTGAAAAGTGGCTTCTGCTCTTCACTTAACCAGTTCAAGTATTGTATGGAACCTGCAAAAAAGATGAGAAGGTACACTAAAACTTGCACGGTTGGGATTGACCAAATCTGTCCACATGCATTTAAACACTAGGCAAAGTACTCAAAACCACCTCTGTGTGTCTTCAGGACCACATTGCCATGACGACACACACATGCAGACTCAATAGGTGAAAACAATACCAGCGTTGCTTTAGCAGCTGGTAATAATGGCTCTGAATTCGCTAAGAGTGACAGTTTAAAAAGTATGCAGTTACCTAATTCATTATCTCTTATGCGCTAACCTATTATTCAATGTGCTTCAAAAGGACATGAATATCGCCTTCATCAGTGACCGGTCCACCCCAGGATCTGACCATACGATGGCAACCATCGTGGTGGAGGGAAACAAATGAATGAGGGAGCATTCTGCGTTAAATGTGTTCATACTGTTTGAAATAATGACTGTCGGCAGTGTAAACATCTTTGTTACATCTTTTGTAAAATGTATGTGTGTGATCTGCAGGTTGGTGGCCATTGAGAGTTTGTTTCTGTAGTTTTACAAAAACTTTACA